TGAAGTAGCAAGACGTGAAATTGATTCTACAAAAACTAAATATCAACAAGTTATTAATGAAGGTAAAGAACAAAGACCACGTTATGAATTAGCTATGAAAGAAGTTTTTGAACGTACACAAGCATTTGAAAAAGAACGATTGGATTTTTTTAAAGAAACATATGATGAATATTTAAAATTATTAGAAATAGCGACATTAGATAAGTAAGTTCATTATTTTATAAACTCTTTTTCTTTTTGTTAAACTGTACGTTTCCTATTTTTTGAAAGTTTGATTTTGAAAAAGATGATTGATGATTATAAAGCTTCTTTATCTATACATAATCCTCAACAAGATTTAACATGGTGGGATCAAAATTATGGTATGTTATTTATTATTATTTCACACATGATTTCTTTGTTATTTTTTGTTTTTGTTATATATAGGTACTCAAACAAATAGTCGATGGCCTGAATATGAGGAATGTCGAGATTAAAATTAATAATACTGCAATTTATCCATGATAACTTAATATTTTTATCTTTATAATATATTTCACTGTATTGTTTGTTGTTTGGTGCACAGAAATAAAATGTTGAAATTTAATAGATTTATTATCTCTTATTCTCTGTGTTTTTTTTTATTGCTTGAAATTAAAATAATATGTTCAATCGAACAAATGAATTTTTTTCTATATAATTATGTAGAAACCTTCAATAGTTATAACAATGTTAAATAATTCACGATAAATAAATAATAAAAAAAGGCAATATGATAACATTGTGATGAGTAATGCATCTTCTGTCCTTTTGAGTTTCTTATGGTATTGAATTATTGATCAGATACTAGTGTCTATTTCTGTAAACTACATTGTATTATGTAAGGCAAAGATCAGATATCATCGAAATGAATATATTTTAAACTTGTTATTATTTTATTGCAATCTCTAAGAAATATGACGAGACATTTACTATCATGTACACTATATCAAGAACACTTACTATTCGAATCAGAGATATTCAATAACAATTGCAAAGATTATTCAAGATATGTTTGTTTGTTCGATTGCTATACAATTTTTATTATATCATTTTTCCTACATACTCATTCTTACAAGCAAACAAGAATGAGTATTTTCTTCACATTATAATCAGCATATGTGCCTGGATAAACTTGATTTACTAACTATTATTTACAGATCATATTCATTTTTATTGGTTTTTATTAGTACATGATCGTTTATGAGGGTCATAATTTTCGTCTTGGACTACCATGAATTATACTTGTAATATTAAAACATCAGCTGCAAGATGCTGTACTGCTCTACCATGACAACTAATGTTTTGAAATATTACATACCAAAGATCAGATGTTGTCATCAGAGGACATGGTCGTATAAGTATTTCATATAGAAAATAAAAGCAGAATACTTCAATCAAACACGATGGACTAGGGTAATGGCTCAGACGTTAGCAACAAACGAATTAATTAAGAGGAAAGCCATTTTTATAATAGATTTCATCGACTAACTGGAATCCATGGGATGGTTTACAAACAACGCGATCCAGCCCATGACTCCGTGGATCTAATATCGAAAAGACGCTCTATCTTTACCCATCCATCTAGTTAGACGTCGGATGTGGATACTAATTTACTGAGCGAAAAACACCAATCTGGCGATATCTCACGTTGAAATCACAATTACCTGATATACATACTTTCGATGATGATCTGATTTATTCGTCTGTTCATTTATATGCAGCGTTCGTTTTCTGAAATCAAAACTTATTGATCTGTTATTCAATACCCAGGAGACATATCTTCGCAACATTTACCTTGATTACATGGAGCTGACAAAGATCCAAAACGCAATAGAAACCTTGTTCCATCCTTTGAAATCAAGCTCAATCAAAACATACTTGTTTGTAAGAATACTTACTGCCCATATTGTTAACACTGTGTTGATTGACAACGAGCAGCAAACAGCGTTTTTCTATTTCAAATCAAATCAGAATAAAACAAAAAAAAAAATCAAAAAATCAAAAGACAACGTGGTTGAACAAACAGTACAATTGAAACTCCTGCATAATATCGTTCAAAAACAAGCATGGATGTAGGCGCAGAGAAGCCATGCACACTCGCACTCACGCCCACATCCTTGTGTCCGGTATTAGGAATATCATTTGTGAAATCGTCAATGTTATCAAAAAAAAAATTAAAGTTTTATCCGATTTCGTTGTGGAACATTGGCAAGAACTGCTTTTTTATTACCGATTTGATTCTTACGGAGGACCAGTCTTGTTAGTGTCTGTTTTGAGGAGGCAGTGAGTGATAGATAGAGAAAGTGAGAATATTACTTTGTTTTCTTCGAGGACTTCGCCAAGATGTTGTGCTCCTTCATTACCAATTTGATTCCAACTAAGATCCAGTATTGTTAGTGTCTGTTGTGAACAGACAGGGAATGCTACATAGAGAAGATAGGGATATTACTTTGTTTTCTTCGAGGGCTTCGCCAAGATGTTGTGCTCCTTCATTACCGATTTGACTGCAATGGAGGTTCAGTGTGGTTAGTGTCTGTTTCGAACAATCGGTGAATGATAGATAGAGAAGGTGAGAATATTACTTTGTTTTGTTCGAGAGCTTTGGCAAGATGTTGTGCTCCTTTATCACCGATTCGATTCCAAATGAGGTCTAGTGTTGTTAGTATCTATGCATGAGAATAAGAAAGTTGAAATGATGGAAGATTTTATGAAGTGATATCGTAGTGCGACTGATAATGGATAGGTATAGGTTCATTTTTTAGAAAAATCTTTGATTTAGTGCAATCACACTGGGGTGTTTTGTTTTGAGCAAAAATACACGGTAAAATCTGCTAAGTATATATATTGTTTGTAGTGCATATTCAATGCACATCCTCAACCATAAGAACATCACATACTCTCAACCATATCCCACCCCATACCCTTGATCATTTTTTTAAAGTGTCAGAAGATATTACAGTTGTCTCGGAAAAAAACAGAAGCAAATGAATCTTATGATTTTTTTGTATTGTTATAGTCATTATATTGAAAAATATGAAATTCTATTTATCTTTCACGGTATTCGATTGATGTCGAGTGAAAAAAAGAACTATCATCCATGTTGCAGCAAATATTAAATCAGTAAGAAGTTGTCCTTTCAAATCTTTTTGTAGTACTTGAACTCGAGCTTCAACACATATTCTCCATGTAGCTAATAATAAATGTATTAAAATACAACCTTTGGAGAAATATCTAAATTGAATAAAAATTAAAAAAAACAAAAACATGATTCGATAAAAAAGAAATCATGCAATTGAATTTTACCGTTGCAATTCGATTTGTTCAAGATGAGATATCATATAAAGAAGAATAGCAATGAAGATAAGCATCATACCCACAAGCGATTCAGATGTTTGTATAAGTTGAGATTTCGCATCTTCATCAGTTAAATGCAATTTTTCTGTAACCCCTTCGCTATGTAACAAACGGGCAAGAGTGCTTACACTGAACACCATAAATGAACCCGTAAAAACATCGATAAAAGCATGAAATAAACAAACTATACGAAATAATGACCACGAAGACATTTTGTGAATACTAAATTATTTATTTATTGTTTATCTGTTGACTTGTAGTGATAATTGACATTTAATCTGTTCTTTCTTTCTTTCTTTCATTTTCTATAAGAATATTTTTGGCCAACAAGAATAAATACAGAAGCCTCCACTGTAAAAAAAAACATGTTTTTTGTAATCAAGAAAAACTAATTAAAATTGTACTTTATTTCAATTATTATCTGTTCAGAAGGAACAAAGGATGTTAGTTTTACTTATTTATATTATATTGTTTGAATAACTGAAACTCTTTTATTAGCATCTATGAAATGTAGGATTAAAATAATCTTACGAGGGGAAGTCCTATAACTCGTTTTCGAGTCGAATCTATATGTATTATGTAGGCTATGAATATCCTGAAAAGATTTTACTACGGCGGAAAACTGCACTCTTGTGATATTTTTTAAAAACAAATGCCGTAGTCCGTCTCAGGAACATCAGAAAAACTTATTTTCAAATTTCGACTTGAAACTTTGTATAGAGATAGACCTTAACAAAAATAGTTTTTTGTAAACGTTTCAAATCTTGTTGCTGGTTTTACTCTAATATACAACTATTGTCATAGCATGTCTTCTACATTCCTTAAATAAATCGGCAGATTTGATGTTTTTTTTTTCTAGGATAGAAGCAAATCAAAAGAATTGAAACTTTCACCATAAGCTACTCTTGTTAAATCCTGCCTCGATGCAAAGTTTCAAGTCGAAATTCGACAATCAGTTTTTCTAGTGTTCTTGAGGGAGATCACAGCATTCATTTAGTTGCTAACTTTGGAGTACAATGCATTGAAGGTAGCGCCACTTTCAATGTATTGTTGTACCTTAGAGCTGCCAGATCTCTTCTTAGTCTGCATAATGCACATAGGCTCGACTCAAAATCGATTTATTAGTTGGAGGACTTTTCTCGTGAGTTCTTCAATAGTAATATCATATGTTTAAATTTTATATGCTTCAAAAAATTATCATTAAGTATTTCAAATAACTTTGTATGAAATTACACAAATACAGTTAATATAAAAAATCAACTTAAGAAATTTTCGTATTTTAAAATTCTACTTAGTTATACACAATTATTTCATCTTTATTTTTTTTTTCTTTTCGAATACAATGAATAATATTCTCATCTATAGATAACTGCTTATACATGCCATAATAATCATTATCATCATTTCATTCGTTTTTTTTCGTGTTACTACAGATGATATTCAATGGTATCAATCAAAAAAACTTTCATATACTACATTCCATCGTTATCTCTATTTTTCCTCTCTCTTTCTCTCTTCTAGCGGCTTTTTATTTTCAGACATATTCGATTCATTTTTTCGTATATAATTGTCGTTATCTATTGCTTGTGGGTTTGTACATCACTCGTCTTTTGAATATACAACTAATGGGTGCTAAATTAGGCAAAAGTAAAAGTTTATTGATCTCAGAAAAAATTAATGAACAAGATAAATCAATGATCACAAATTCAAATAATCATACCAATGGTACAATAATAACATTGGAAAAAAAGTTTAAAAAGAACACGGAAAAATCTTCAAATAAAAAATCATCAAATACAAAGGTAGATAAATATACAAGTACAGATGGTGGTATAATATCACCATTACCATCATCATCTATTAAACAACTCGTTGATGGCTCTAGATGTAATAATCTTTTGTCTGATGTTCACACTGTCGAAACAAATTCAATTTATCAATCTGAAACACCAAGTAAAGATGTACTAGAATTTCGCAATGCTTGTATTCGACGTGGTATTATTTCTCCAGAAACGAATAATTTTATTTTACTAACATCAAAGGAACAAAACTATCAAGTAAATACTGTCAATGAATCAACAAATGAAACTACAACAAGAGCAGTCGGTACGAATAATGCACAAGTTCAAAATGAATAACAAGTTGAATCGTAAAAAAAACAATACTAATAATAGTCGAAAAATATTTTCTTTTATTTGTTTTTTAGAGATTATGAAAGCAAATATTAGTCAAAAAATCTATTAAATCAATACATTTTTCAATCATCGAACTCAAACTTGGTTAATCAAAATTCATCGTTTTTTTTTTTTCTTCAGTCTCATTTCATGTTAGTTATTTGTTTTCTATTGTAATAGAGTATCTTTATCATTTCATTGCATTATTCTTTTAAAGAATTATTCTAATTGCTTCAATTTTTTACAGATATGATTTTCGAAAGTATTAGAAAATATTAATATATAATAGCTTAAGGGGTCCTTGCCTCATTGCCGAGGCTTCTCGGAAGTGATTCTACGAAAAATTATGAAGGATAGAGATATGGGGAGGGGGGAGGGAAGGGAAGGGGAGGTCGCAATGGTCAAAAGCTCCTTTTCTCCTACAAAACTCTATATTTTATTCTTGCAAGTTGCATTTTTTATGACAGCTAGGATCAAATCGAGATGCGTGATTTTTTTTCCTGTCAAAAATATCGTTTGTAGAGATCAACAAAAGCAAAAAAAATACTCGAAGTATCATTAAAACACGTATTTTTTTTTCAATGGCTGGCAAATTTCGTAGGAACAACATTTTGAAGAAAAAAAACATACACCTCAATTTGATCTGAGTACTCATGAAAAACCCTTGAGCTCAATCGGACTTACCGTGTGGAAAAAAAAGAAGAAAAACTCCAGTTTTTTTTTCGTTAAAAAAAATTGATTTTGAGGAAAATACAAAACAATCTTTCTTTTACGTACCAGAACTTTTTTCCTTCAACTAAAGTGATCGACAACAACTGGTCGTGTTCAATAGTGTTAGAAGACCATGACCCATGCTCTCAGCATCTTTAGAAATTATCATTAGAACAATTTCACATGCAACGAATAATTGTGGTGCGAGTTTTTCGAGAGTTGAGTTTAGAAAAAGTGCCAACTAACAATAAAGAGTATTCGAAAAATAAAAAATTTTAATTCTAATATCCGACAAGGGAAAGTTCTCTTAAGTGATTGAAAAAGGAATTCTCATTGAAATACATCAATGAAATATAGGATAATCTGATATAGAGTTCGATGGTGATTTCAACAATTACTCGGAATAGGATCCTTTAAATCATTAGATTAATACGAAAATTTTAAATATATTTTGAGAAATTTTCACTATTGAATTGTTGAGATTAAAGACGCCACATATTTATATACATAAACAAAACATTATTATACATCTATACTAAAATCTTTAATCTCAATAATGAAAAAAAACTAAAGTTTTTCTATATAGATTTAAGAACTTTTTGTATTTATCTGATGATTTTACCATTGCAGTAGCATTCAATTTATTCGCTTACCAGTATGCATATGCATAAAATTCGTGTCATCATATTGTATAAATAGTTATATGTTATTTGATGAGTTTTATTCATATATTTGAAGAATTGAAACAAACTCCGTATATTTGATCATATTAATAAAAATCATTAGTTGCATCGATTATAAAATGCAGAATATATACGTTAAGAATTCTAGTATCTTTTATTTTCAGAATTGAGAAAATCAATCTTGCAGTTTAGAAATTCAATGTAAAAGTAATGTATATATGATCTAGTACAACATTTAGTAGTTACTTAAAAAATTGGCTGAGGATTTTAACTAGAATATCTATAACATCTGAATAACTAAATCTAAGGCTCGCGTAATTTTGCAGTTCTTTCATTGGTGCTTCGGATTACACATCTGATAATTATAAAATTCACTATAGTTACTTGACAGCGTACGTTGACTTTGAAAAATATACAATTCAATGAGTCTTCATCTTCTTTTTCTAAAAGTGGAAATTGCAGCTCTCTATCTTGTTTCTATAAAAAGTTATATAAGCAACAATCTCCAACCACCTTTTTTTTGTCATGAAATGGAGATTAGTACAAAACAAAAATAATCACTTTTCGTGTATATTTTTTCATTTCTTTACTTAATGCTCTCTATTTGATTCTAATCATATAAATCATCATTGTATTATTCATATTATCACGTTCGTTTTCTATGATTACATTCTTCAAACATACATGCAAACTTTATAGTATTTTGATTTTGCTCTAACATAGTTCTATAGAAATATTCTTATTAATCAACATGATTTCAATGAATAATAAGAAAAATATGCTTTGATTTAAATACATTTTTTTGTTTTTGTTTTTCATTAGATAATATAATCACCAGACGTATTAAAGACAATAATAAGTATGAGACTGAAAGAAATAGTAATAATAATAAAAACAAACGCAAAAATAGGAATTATTTTTAGGATCAAAAATAAAAAAGAGACAAGACAAAGAAAGATACTGTTTAAAAAAATTAATAATAAATGCTAATTTACATGTGTAATCTCGTATTGAATAATCTTCGATAAATACTAAATGTTATATAATTTTCATTATAAATTTTAATGATAATATGTTCTTAACGTGACCAGCACGTTGGATAAACAGGAAAACAACAAAATAAAAACATATTTTGAAATAATCTGAGACGATTCTTTTATGGTTTTTTGAAAAAGAAAAAGAAAAATAAAGAATGTCATCCTATCACTGGCAATATGGAATTTGATGAAGATGAAATCGATGATGATTCAACGACAAGAGAAGATGTTGTTGATGATATTGATGATGATGATGAATTATATAAACCTTCAACTCGTGTACCTGGTCCTAAACGATATTCTTTTCCACGCCATATAACTGTCGATGAACCAGTGAATGCTTTAAAATAGATGTAAAATGATGAAAATTCTCGAATAAGCCATGCAATAGCAAATTCAAATTTTGAAAAAGGAAGTGGACCACCCTAAATAATAGATATTTATTTAAAAATTAAATTTTTTTTTAAGTTAATTTACTTGTACTAGTCGAAGCATAAGATAATCAGAAATAAACCATATTAAAATATGACAAGCAGCAACAACAAGAGAATTCCATTCAAATAAATAATTTGTAACAATACCAGCTAATATAGCTGATGTAAATGATTCTTGTAATGGTTCAATATAAGCTAATGGACTTAAACGCATTCTTAATTTACACCATCGAATCATTCGATCAGCCCATGATGATATAGAATAATTACCAGAATTTTGTTGTGCAGGTGTTGGTGCAACACGTAATTTTAAACCTTGTTTAGTTATTTCATTTGCAAGATAATAATCTTCAGCAATATAATGACCAAAAGCTTTTAGACCACCAACTCGATCAATACAATCTTTACGTATTAAACAAGACATTCCAGTTACACAATTTATACCTATTAAATTAATTGTCATATACATACGAGCATGTTGTGTACCAAAATAAACCTAGAAAAAAACGATATATCATTAACTTTCAATATAAATTTTATAAGATCAAACATATGAAACAGATAAGATTATGAGGACTTACTGAGATTTGCTTGACCAGTAGTAGTAGTAGACAGATAAGATTAATTCATGAGAAAGGAGGGGGGGGGGGGAGGACATTTTAAAAACTATATTCTGAACCTATTTTTTAGTTGATCTTGATTGTTAATATGACCTACTACCGACTTCAGTCAATTGACCTAGGATTAACTCATCATGTTACCACGCTACATAGTGGTGGATTGTGAAACTTTGAAAATACTCAAATAACAATGTCAGATAATTTCAAATACAAAAATAAATATCGTCATTCGACTTAGCATGATGAATTATCCCTGTCAAGATGTTCTTCAGAGTGATCCAAGGTCAATTGGCTGAAATGGGTGATCTCAAGAAAACCTTTATAACAAGTTAGCAATGTCGACCTTGCATAGATTGAAAGAGAACAATTTTTTTCTATCTATCGATTATATTAATAATCAAGATCAACTTGAAAATAAAATCAGTATATCGTTTTTAAAATATTCATCAAGAATCAATCAAATTTCAGTAAGTATTTATACGCCTGAGTCTTCTCTTTCTAATAGTAAAAATTGCAAATCTCTGCCGTGTTTATATTAAAATTGATTTAAAAAAATATCTTATAACTGTTCTGTTTTAAAATGTACAATAGTACAAGTACGATGAATCGACATTAATATCTGGTATTTCACTACCACACACTTTTTTTTGCTAAAGGTAAAAATCTAAAAAGGTGTCAAGGTTTTTTCTATTCGTTTTATTTATTTATTTTCTTTTTGTTTTGATTCAGCATCTAAAAATTAATGTCAAAGACAAACCTTTTCAACTGTTCCAGCAAAACCGTTTCTATTATGAGTAAATGGTAGTTGATGAACAAGACCAACATCATCAGTCATATACAAAACCATTTCATACAATGTATCTTCATGCATCATTAAACCACTATCTGAGATTAAAAATAATGGATATTGAGCTTTTTCATAAGCTGCTAACATATTAGATATTTTTGGATTTATTATTTCTGTTGTTCCAGATTTTAATGATCCATCACCGGATGAAAGTTTTTTTGAGACTATATACAAAAACAAAAACAAAAGAAACAATGAAAATTTATATTTATAAAAGAAATTATGTAGAAAAAAAAACAATAATATAAATATTGATTATCAAAAAAAAAACGAGAATTGTTATTTTTACATACCACAACATAAAGTTTGTTTTCGTAATGGAATTCGTTTATTTCTTGTTAAAATATCCTTGATATTTGTTATCAATCGAATATTATCATTATTTTGATCGTCATCATCAATCTCATTGTCCTGTCTTTTCTCTATTGATTGAGATCCTATTTAATATTTTTTTTTTTTCAAAATGATTATTACAATATCTATTTTATATTTATATACATACCAACAAATAATTGTGATTCAATATGTGGATGTTGTGCTCGAAGTCTTTCGATCATGTCAATCAAATTACTATCATATTCTTGTATACAAAAAAGTATTTCATACTAAAATGTAAACAAAAAAACAAACAT